GGAGACTGCCGTGCGGTGGTCTGTGAGTCCTCACTTTCACGACAACGAAGGACCATTCTCCGGACAAAAACAAAAAGGAAACGCAGAGGCTGAACGACAGTGGTGTGAGCGTGGAATGCGGCTACGTGGACGGCAAGGTGCAGGTCTCCCGAGCCTTCGGTGACATCGCGGCCAAAACCGGACACAAGATCCGTGGGCTCATGTGCACGCCGGAGGTGACCATCATCGATGTCAAGGAGGCCACCGAGTTCCTGATCCTGGCCACAGATGGGATCTGGGACGGCATTCAAGATCAGGCGGCGGTCACTGCGGCCAGGAAGGTGCTTCGCGAGACACGGTCTCCAGAAGCGGCAGCAAAGGCAGTCGTTGAAGCTGCCGGCAAGGTCACCAAGGCAGACAACGCTGCGGTGATTGTGTTAGCGCTCAACGTCCCAGAGCCGCCCCCTAAAAGGGACACGGCCCAGAGCCGCTTCCGGCGGAGCTCCAAGACGGAGTGAAGCTATTGATTCATTTTGCAAGTGCATGTTGTGGATGCCTCGCCGTTTCATTCCGGCTGTTCCAGGAGGCTCCTCTCGGTTACAGTTGAAGCAATTTAAAGGAAAAGAGCTGTTTCGTTTGAGGGCACCTATAGGCCTGCCCCATGGTCGGCTTAAATGTGCAGCTTAGACTTAAACTGAACCGCAAGCGGTGAACTCCTCGGCCTCGTGATTTTGGAGGGGTCTACGAGTCTACCCATACTTGCCATGCAGCTCCTGCACCTGAACCCACAAGGCTTCGAGCATCATCCGATGGATCTCTGTTCACTGTTTACATCTTAGTGGAAGTCTGGTTACTATACAGGGGCCTTAGTAACTACCTATATTATTTTGGAGGTTCCTTATTACTTGTATGAGTACAGTATCATATGCCCCAAAACCCTAGTCTAACTATGAGGCCCCTACATTACAAGCCTTCATATACTTGCCAGCAGCATTTGCAGCACTTCTGCGTCTCCACCGTCCCGTGTAGAAGTCGCACAGTAGTCGCCTTTGTCATCCCGCGTACAACATGAGTAGTAGTCGCCATGTGTCCTTTCAGTCTCCTTCGCCAGCCCACATCTTGCGTGCCGCGAACTGGGTAGTAGATAGGAGCGCTGACCTTATACTCTACAGGGCCCCCAGACAAAAGAACACATTATGTCCTCGCCCGGCTTGCCGCCCAGGCAAAGGACACCAATTGAGTAGAACCCAAATCGCTGCAAGGTAGCAGCTGCGGCAGCGCCTGCCAAGGTGGGCCATATTATCTTATCATATCTTGTCTTATCTTATCTTATTTTAGATATTATCTTATCTTATCTTATCTTATCTGGTCTTATCTTACCTTACCTTATCTTATCTTATACTTATTATATTATATTGTATATTACATTATCTTGTACAATAGTCTATTATATTAGACATTATATTGTATTGTATATGATATGTTATATCAGTTATATCAGATCATAACTCGTATGGTACCAACAGTTTGATCTCACAGCGCAATACTACCGAAGTATCCTCCGTGTGTTAACACGTCTGTGCTGCTGATGCAATCGGTGGTTTCTGATCACTAGCCAGCCGAAACAGAAGTCGCAGTCACAACACAAACACGAGCGACAGTCGCGACAGTCACCCTAGTACTACGAAGCTTTCTGTCAGCTGGAGCCAACTCATGATCCTCGAAGGAATTCCCAAATGGGTACAGCAGAATGGCGGTACATACATACCTACCTACGTACATACATACGTACGTATGTACGGGCATACAGGCATGCAGGCATGCAGACATACATGAGTCACACGTAGACGTGTTTGCACATAGAAATACATGTCAGCATGTACTTGGCACAAGTGCTGCACAGAAGAAATGTTGTTGTCTAGTCTTGGGCACAACGGACGAAGCGTAGGTAAGATTTAAGACCGAAATCTAGAATCTGAAGCCCAGGCAATTACGGTCCGACTCAGCCCAGTACATGCCAGCCTGTACGTCGAAATGTGTGGCACTGTGTGTGGCACTAGCCCCATGTTCTGAGCTTGAGTTGGGGCAGGACGTCCGCCTACTGTTCACCTGAAGCCCAATATCTTAAAGCCAGGACCCTAAAACCTAAAACCTAAAACCTAAACCCCTAAACCCCTAAACCCTGAGTCGCAAACCCGTAGCTGCTCACAGTTCCTCAGCATCCAATTTTGGGGGGTCGGTTATTTATATTATAGGATAATTACATTTCAGGGGTCTAGGCATTGAGCATCGCAGCCTTGCGCCTGCAGAGTCGTAAAGCGCGCGCGATCTGAAACCGAAGCCCAAGTCAAAGTCTGCGGCTGCAATGCGCTGGCTATTCGGATTCTGAAGTCTGATTGATATCCTTGCCACATCTTACCACCCATGCAGAAGCTCGCACTCGCGACTTCGCAAATCAGCACGGCAGGCTATTTGTCACATGTTGCAGCAGTTTTGCACCCTGCGAAGATTTCTCTGGTCTTTTGGGAAATTCAGAAACCCTAAACCTTAAACCCTCAACCCTAAACCCTAAACCCTGAAAACATGCCAGGCTTCAGCACCAGTAGTACAATCCGTCGGTGGCTGAGTTCTCTCTCACTCTGCTTCGCGAAGACAGAAGGAAGAAAGAGACAGTGAGACAGAGGGCGAGGCACATAGAGCAAGGGAGGGAGAGAGTATACCGTATCTGAACATCTTTGTTGAAGGCATGTTCGTCTAAGTCTGGTCCTACTTTACAAACAGAGCCAAGCAGCCCGCGTGCTGGTCGAGTCGGAAGTGCTTCCGGGGTTTAGAGTTCAGGCTTTTTGGCTTAGGGGGCCGTTGATGGATTTTAGCCAGCAGCTTCTTCGGCTGGATGTTGCAAGGACAGCCATACGGCGCGTGGCCGAAACACCGGAATCTGCGCATGACATGGCAGCCGGTTTTCAAGTTCGCTGTTTCTGTACCGCTCCGACAACCAAAGTGCTTTCCGACCCCCAAAACCGAAGCTGCGTCCCCTACGCTTCTGCTCTGATGATAAGGGCTCCAGTATGCGGAGCTGAACATGCCGAGGTTTCGGGGCAGAGCGCCAAGCCCGTCACAACGCCCCGTCAGGTCGGGAACAGTGTTGTCGATGGGGTCAGGGGGGGATGGGGATGGTAATGTTAACGGTGACGCTGATGACGGTGATGGTAATGGTGAGGGTGAGAGTGGCCATGAAGAACAGTGAGAAGGCACAATGCGGATGTTGAGCTTGTTGCTGGTGATGAGCGTGCTGAAGAGGATGAGGAAGAGGAGTCCAAAAGAAAAAAGTAGCAACAATATTAACACCAAAGGTGATTAATAAGAACTTTAAGACGATGGTGATGCTGCTGGTGATGATGATGATGATGGGATACCAGAGGCGGAGAGGAGGTTGAGCTTTGGATTAGACGGACGATAGCACTGACGAGTGCAAACATCTGTCGGCAGCAAGGCGCCAGTCTGGCTGGGAGAAAAGCTTTCGGTGTGCATCAATCACCCCAGCAGGCCCTAAACTCTAAAGAAACAAAAGTCCTAAATTATGGCTCTAAACTCTAAAGAAACAGAAGTCCTAAATTATGAAACCCCAAACCCTAAATCGCAAAACCCTAAACCCTAAACCCTTAACCCTTAACCCTTAAGCCCCAAACCCTAAATCGCAAACACTCAACCCAAAATCACACAAAAATGGCGGAGACTCGGAGGAGCGACCTCCGCTCCAAATCGGGACGATCGAGGAGGTCCCGTGAGTGTGTGTGTGTGTCCACTTCAGTACTGTACTATACCTTCTAATGTGTTTTTTGTATTATGTAGTGTATAGTATATATTGTATATGATAAATTATATAGTACATGTTTTTATATATAGTTTATCGTATTATAGTGTCTAGTATACAGTATATAGTACATAGTATAGTTCATACTAAATAGTATATAGTCTATGGTATATAGTAAGTAGTATATAAGTATATATAGTACATAGTTCAGTGTTTCGGCTCTCCCTGGAAATCCGAGGCTTGCAACCCAAGGGAAGCCAGGTGGGTCTTACAGCCCAGAAGCCCGGCCTAAGCCCTAAAGCTTAACCCCTAAACCCGAAACCCTAACCCCTCAACCCTACATCCTAACCCTAAACCCTAAATCCTAACCCCTTAACCCTACATCCTAAACCCTAAACCCTACATCCTAAACCCTTGCCCTGAAACCCTAAACCCTAAAACCCATGGCCCGAAGCGCCTAAGCCGACGTCGGACCGGGTTTACGGGTTTAGGACTTGAGATCTCGAGGAGTCGAGACCGGCCTTCGGTGCCGGGATTCTTCTTCAGAGTTCTTCTGAGGGTTTAGGGTTTAGGGTTCTTCTGGGGGTCTTAGGGTTTAGGGTTCTTCTGACAGTTTTTTGGGGGTTTAGGGTTCTTCTTAGGCTTTAGGGTTTAGGGTTTCTTTTTCCTCTTTGCCGTCTTGTTGGATTTGGCTTTAGGGCACACCTTTACCCGCATGCTCACATCTACATCATGCACACACACAAACATATTTTATGTGTGTGTATATATATATACATACATACACAGCACCAGATGTGCGTACGTAAACAATCCAGCATGCGTTACATTCATGCTCACGATTTCCGCAGCTGCCGTTGACAGTAGCATTCGTATTAGCATTAGTCTGAAATGCATTGCAGCTCTGAGCAGCACGTGAAAGGCTCCTGACCCGAACCTTAACTGATAAAAGGCAAAAACACTACAGCCACAAAACACACTAAATACTAAACCCCATGTCAACCCCCAAACCCTCAAACCTAAAGCCCCCCCTAAACCGCGATACCCTTGCCATCCTTCGTAACTTATACTCTCCTAAACACCCTAAACCCTAAACCCTAAGCCCTAAACCCTACACCCTAAAACCGTAGAGCCCCAACCCCGATAGCCTTAAACTCTAAAAGACTCTAAATCCGAAGCGGCTTCCTTGGAGCCCAGAGCTCCTGTCATGGCGACGCTGAAGCGCGCCCTCATCGTGGGCCTGGGGAAGTTGAACCCAAAAGTCAAGGTCGGATTCTAAGAGTTTAGGGTTTAGGGTTGTAAGAGTCAGAGTTTAGGGCTCAATAGGGCTTAGGGCTTAGGGCCCGCGAGTTTTAGGGTTGAGCGAGGGTTTAGAATTTAGTATTTAGAGCTCATAGGGTTTGGGCGGGGTTTGGGTTAAAGATGAAGCGCAAAAGCGCAGGTGGACTGCAATGAGGGTTTCTGTAAGGGTCAGTATGCATAGGGGTTACAGGGTTTCTGTTGGAGAAGCCAAACCCAAAAAGTAAGGGCGGCAGTTTCGTGTTTGGGGTGTGTTTTTCTTGCCCCCTCCCACCCCTCCAGCTCCAGCCCTCCAGCCCTTCCTCCAGCTCCAGCCCTCCAGCCCTCTAACCCTCCAACTCCATCCCCTCCATCCCCTCCATCCCCTTCATTCCCTCCAGCTCCAGCCCCTCCAGCCCTCCAGCCCTTCAGCCCTCCAGCCCTCCAGCCCCAGCCCCAGCCCCTGACGAGTACCCTCAAGTTTCGGAGAGCTCTAGGTGGAGTTTTATTGTCTACGGTTTGCGCACCCTTAACCTCGAGGTTGTGTTTGATGCAGAACGGACCATGCTGAGATTTTAGCATTTTGTGTTGAAGCTCGGAGCTTTTGGGGGACCTCAACTCGCCTTTGCGCTCTTGCCCCGACTTCTCTTTCGCCGCGAGGAGCAGATGTCTGCATGGGTGAAGCCCGAGCACCTGGCTTACCTTGGTAGCCTCACGGACGAGCAGCTCCAGAAGGAGATCTGTTGAGCAGGCATACGGTAATAGGGAGTCGCAGAGAAGAGAAGCAGCAGCGGGAGGAGCAGGAGGAGGCGGAGGAGTAGCAGCGGCAGCAGTGGTAAAGGCCGTGGGTGTGGTGGTGGTCGTCGTCGTGGTCGTGGTCGTGGTAGTCATCCTGGTCGTGTCTGTGGTCTTGGCCGTAGCATTGCAGGACCTCGCTTCCATGAAGGTGTCTCTTGAGAGCGAGGGCATCAAGCTCGAAAGTGCACCTCGAATGTGTCTCTGAGCCATCTTGTAAAGACTCGGTCTCTGCATTGGCGTCAACCCTTCCACTCCTCGAGGTATTGCTGGAGGGGGAGATCGACGATGCGGGCATCCAGCGTAGTTGTAGCCAACTGCGAGACTCGCCGAAGAATTGAAGCCTTCTCTTCCGGCCTAATGCTTTTTCGATGTATTATTTCAGTGAATCGCTCCTTTCTGTGCGCTGGAACTTGCCAGGCTGCTTTTGGGGGGTGCAGGCTTTTTTTGGCGTCCTTGCTACATGGGTGACTTGGGCTCTGCCAAACACATCAGATCAGCTTAAAATGGTTGGGGCTTTTACCAACCCGCGTCTGTGCACGGCTGACTGTTCATCATGAAACCCACCCGAACCACTAGGTTTCCACAACCCTGAACCTCAAGGCCAGCACCTGCGGCAAGCAGATGCCTACGACGTCGTTGTTCTGGGCGCTGGCATCCGTGGGCCTTTGGAGAATCTAGCGCTGCTTCTTCGCCGATTTTCAGAAAGAGGGTGTGAAGCAATGTAAGTATTCTGAGGAGCACGAGTTGGCATTAAGGGATGAGGTCCGGCATTCGCGATCTGGGTTGATAGTTTCGGGCTAACTTATCCATGAAGCATTCAATGATGCACGTGGAGACAGCTTTGCAGCTCAGGTTTGAAAGCCTGATCAATGTGACACATCGAGATGCCCCGAGCTCCCGCATTGCTTTCAACACATACCCGCTGGACACCGCGGATGCCATCAAACGCGTGCTGCAGGCGAAAGAGGACGCGGGTGCTGTTCAATAGCTCGTGACGGCAGGCCCTACAGCCCCTGAAACCCTACAAAGAGAGCAGCAGGGATCCAACCGTTGTGCCTGTAATTTAGGGCTCTGCTTTAAGTACCAGGAGTGATGGCCACATCACGACGGCCGGCGGCATTCAGTCTGAGAGCCCTCTTTCCGCACAGATCAACTTCTGACGCAGCGTGCGACAGGACAAATGCCCGACGCGCAGGAGGGAGCATCATTAACTACATCATCCTCAGCAGCACCACGGCCATCAGACCTTCATCATCGTGGCCATGCGGATTGTCAGAATCATTGTCATAGTCGTAATCACCACCATCACGGTATCATCATCACCCTCGCCACCACCCCAACCGTCATCACAATCTCATGACCACATTCGCCGCCATCACCGGTATCATCATCATCATCATCATCACCACCATCACCGCCATCTTCTTCTTCTTCAGGATTCATCTCCATCATTCATCATCATTCATCATCATCATCATCATCATCATCACCATCACCATCATCGCCACCATCTTCTTCTTGTTCTTCAGGATTCATCTCCATCATTCATCATCATTCATCATCATTCACCCTCATCCATCATGAGTCATCACCACCATCACCACCGTCATCATCAACAACATCATCCTCATCCCCATCCTCGTCATCGTCGCCACCATCACCATCGTCATCGTCATCGGCGTCATCATCAGCAGCAGCAACATGATGATGATGATGTTGTTGATGATGTTGTATTTGTGATGTTTACTGTAATGCTCAGCATCGCCATCAGCAGCAACACCCCCATCGTCGTCACCATCAGCATCATCGTCATCATCATCATCATCATCATCATGTTCTTCATCACCGGCAACAGCAGTATCCACACCACCACGGTCATCCTCCCCCTCATCATCGAGATGAGCAGCAGGATCACAATCATGATTCTCTTTGTCGCTGCCAGTTCATCACGCTTACTACTCAGACTCTTCTCCTTCAGTGTATTGTTGTCGCCGTGTTCTTATTCTAGGGACCAGCGGCCCCAGGCCCGGGCCAATTGCCTGCTAAAAGCAGAGCTTACTACTGCAATTTGCTTAGACGTAGTAGCTCACAAGTATGTAGGCGAAAAGTACTTCAGCAGGACGTGGGGCAATCTGCTTTGTGAACTTCCGCCAGTCCCCGTGTAGCCAATCCCGAGTCCGGCTGTACAAAGGGAGGGCATACGCCCCCAGCGCCCAACAATCGAGAGCCGTTCCTTCCAAGTTCCCAAAGCTTCACAAGAATGCCACGGCAAGCTGCAACCTGTTGTTTTGGAGGCGCCGATCGTGGATTCACCGTTCAAGGACATCTTCTCCATGTCTCCCTCAGCCCCTTCGGAGAGGCTTCTCGGACGGGGGTGGTTTAGGTGGTTTAGTGTTTGAGGTTTTAGGGTAAGGGTTGGGGATTTATCCAGGTGTTCGGGCTTAAAAGTTGAGGGCTTGGGCTCCGGGTGTTCAGTCATCTGGGGTTCAGGGTCCAGGGCTTTCGGGATCTACTTCAGGGGCTTCAATCGTCTCCAAATGTATTTTTTTGTTGGAGGGGGGATCCTTATCATAATACACTGTATTTAATACACTATGATTTAGCTACCACCCCCTGCTCAAAAAAAGACTTATTCAAGCATGTAAGGTGCCCCCAAGAGTAGGGTTTCAAAAGTAGGGTTTCTGGCTGAGTCTTTCAAGGCTTTGGGTCTGTAGGGCCTCTCTGGAACTGCGCAAGGGTTTGCTGGTAAAGGACGGTCTCTTGGTTTAGGGTGTAGGGGTTTAGGGTTCAGGAGTTTAGGCTTTAGGGGTTTAGGGGTTTAGGGGTTTAGGATTCAGGATTTAAGGTTTAGGGTTTAGGTGTTTAGGGTTCTCAGCCAGCTTAGAGTTGGAGAACTGCACCACACAGCCTGTAGTGCAGGTATGTGCCCCAACGACAAAAACCATAGGTTTGTCGGGGTCTCTATAGCCGGTCCTGATTAAAGATTTTGGATGTTTTGTTTTGGTTGCCGAATACGAGAGATACCGAGTTCCGGACCCTCCACCCTCAACCCTGAAAGTAGCCTGACTAAAACAACCCAATGACGCCCGTATTGAACCCTAAACCCTGAACCCTAAAACCCAATGAAGCCCGTGTTGAAACCGAATGAAATTTTTTCGAAGTCTCGGGCCGCAGCGTCTGTTGCTCGAAGCGCCGGCAGTATGTTCCCTGCGTCACAACATTGCCTAAACCCGTAAAGACCCTACACCCTAAACCCACACCTTATCCCTGGTTGTGGTCACTACTTCAGGACGTTTCCAATTACTGGCTGTCATCCTGATAGTCGCATATTGCATTATATGGTATATTAAACTATATTGCGATTTAGGGTTAAGGTTTCACCGAAAATATATGATCTTGTATTAAATAGCCAGGGCTGGTTGACTCTTGCTACGACTAGATTTATTGCTGCTTGTCCTTCGTATTCTTCCTCAGCCCTAAACCGCTAAACCCCAACTCCTAAACCCTAAACTCCTAAACCCTAAACCCTAAACTCCTAAACCCTAAACCCCTAAATCCTAAACCCCTAAACATCTAAACCCCGAAACCCCTAAAGCCTAAACTCCTAAACCCTAAACCCTGAGTCTCTGCATTCCAGGCCGGGGGCCAGCAGGCGTGTGGTGACCATCAAGCGATCGGAGGCCGGTTTAGGGGTTTAGGGTTTATATAGGGGTTTAGGGGTTTGGGGTTCAGGGGTTTAGAGTTTAGATGTTTAGGGTTCAGGGGTCGAGGGGTTTAGAGGTTTAGGGTTTAGAGGTTGAGGGGTTTACGGTTTAGGGGTTAAGGGGGGTTTACGGTTTTAGGGTTTAGGGTATAGGGGAAGAGCCAGCCGTCATGAACCGGAGACAGGAATTTCAGGGACAACGGACCCTGATACACAAGACTCAGACTAGATGTTGAGATAGTAGGACCCTCGTTGTGATGATCCTCCCACAGTGAGATGGTCAGAGTTGTTGACGTTGTGACGATGCATTGCCCCGTGGCCCAAGCAAGAGCAGTGTTGAGCACGAGCTCAAAATACATAGTTAATGGGAGACTTTCCTCACGAGGCTCTCCGCTTGGGTTCGGCAGCCTTGGTCATGTGCCGGCATCTGGGCGCATTGCACAGTCGACATGTCGTATTTACTAAAAGGGTTGTATGTGAGCCATGGGCAGCATTTGTGGCTGGCAAATATTGCCCATCGCTCACACACGACTCTGGAGCAAGGGAGAAACATCCTGCCTTGCTGCCGGACTACGCTACGCCTCTGGAGGGAAATTCTCTGCACGGGTTTGCTGTCGTGAAGAATGACCGAGTGCGGATGGAAGACGCGGCATCCATCGGTGACTGAGTGACTGATGGAAACAGCGTCTTCCATCCGCCCTCGGTCATTCTTCCCACGTTGCGGGGCACGGCAGAACAAGAGTGCAAGAAGGAAGAAGCCTTTGCATTAATGGAGCCGATGCAGAAGCAACTTTAGAGATGAAGCCGAAGTTGTTACAGCACTTCTTCCGGCAATGTATGCATTGCGCTCCTTGGGGCCGACGAGCGGAAAGGTGGGCACAACTACGAGAGACCACCACCCCGACAAGATTCTTCTCGGGGTTGTGATCTCTCGTAGTTGTGCCCACCTTTCTGCTCGACCAGGCGAAGCAGGGTGGCTGTGTGGATGCAAAGGTGCAAGTCTCTCGAGCGCTTGGAAGGCATTGCGGACAAGACCGGACGAAAGATCTGCGGTCTCAGCAATACGCCAGAGGTGACCAGCGTCAAGGCGAAGGAACCCTGGCCACAGACGGAGTTTGAGACGGGCTACGCGAGCAGCTTGCCATCACCACCGCCAGGAAGGTCTTGCGAGAGACAAGACGGTCTGCAGAAGGAACTGCAAAGCCGTTCTGGAAGCAGCAGGCAATTTCCTTTGCTTCCTGCGACGCTTTTGCAGCTCCTTCTGCATGATGCATGACCTAGGCGATTGTCATGGCACTCAACATCCCAGAGCCGCTCCCTAAATAGGACGCGGCCCAGAGCCGCTTCCGACGGAGCTCCAAGACGGAGTGAAGCTATTGATTCATTTTGCAAGTGCATGTCGTGGATGCCTCGCCGCTTTATTCCGGCTGTTCCAGGAGGCTCCACTCGGTTACATTTGAAGCAATTAAAAGGAAAAGAGCTGCTGTCTCCGCTCGTGACCTCCGGCGTGCACATGAGGCCACGGATCTTGTGTGTCACGAGCATCGAAATTAAGGAGACGACGGAGTTCCTCATCCTGGCCACAGATGGGATCTGGGATGGCATTCCAGACCAGACGGCGATCACCACGGCCAGGAAGGTGCTTCGTGAGACACGGTCTCCAGAAGCGGTGGCGAAAGCAGTCGTCGAAGCTGCCGGCAAGGTCACCAATTGGTGACCTTGCCGGCTGCTTCGACGACTGCTTAAGGCAGACAACGCTGCGGTGATTGTGTTAGCGCTCAACGTCCCAGAGCCCGCGGCCTAAAAGGGACGCGGCCCAGAGCCGCTTCCGGCGGAACTCCACGGAGTGAAGCCACGGATTCCTGTGGCAGGTGCATGTCTTAGATGCCTTGCAGCTTTGTTCCTGCTGTTCCGGGAGGCCTCGACGCCAAACCTCAGGAAGGAATTTGAACAGACAGGCTCTGCCTCCTCTCGATTCTGCAATACTTGCGAGTCCTCCATTCCTGTGCCAAATGAGCCTTCGAGATTCGAGTCCATGAGTTCCGAGCACTAGACGACACGAAAACTCGCCCCCAAAAGCCCGAAGAGTACTGATGGCTGGTGGCGGTGGTTGCTGCAATCGCATAAGTCCTAGATCTAGAGTGAGCACAACAAATGGTAGAGCAGTCACCTTCACCGAAGCCGCAGCACGACAGTGGTGGCACGCGAAGAACGGCAAGAAGCAACAGCGATATCGGCAAGAAGAGTATCTGTGACATCGTACGAAGTGTCGCGCACTAATCGCAATCGCATTCATGGTGCAACTCATCCTCGCCTCCCCTGCATCTGCAGGATGTTCCCTGCCGCATGTGCCAGGACCCTGTGCATAAAGGGCTGATTGGAAAGGGTGT